AGAGTATTGTCATTTTCCCATGGTTTTGTTTTGATATGCCAAACAGTTGGCAATTGTAAACTGTTTATTTCAACATTTAAACAGTGGTTGTTCGATATTCGCACCTTTATCCATTGTAGTCCTTGTTAAATATGTATCATCTGATCGCTAGCGATTGTCTTATACGTTGTGGATGTATGTTAGGTACCAGTGTTCTCTGTACTATTCCTGCAGAATGTTCCAGTGTGTCGTGCTGACAATTAATGGTGTCTGGCAAAACATCGTTAGCATCAGAAAATAATCGACAGTATTAATTGACCATAAATTTCATAATAACAGCAAATACATTTCACGCTCAAAGTTTTACTTGTATGATCCACACAAGTGATTATGTCTTTGTCAACTCCATCATCAGCGTGTAGTACAACGTCAATAAGCTTACAGGTAAAATTGTTCACACATTCTATATGGTTGTCAGTATTAGCATTCAACTCTAAATTGCGTGTGTCATAAAGAGTTAGTTCTTAGATATCTTCACCAAAAATACCCAGCTCACTAAGATAACTATCTGTTTGAAACCACATTATTTGGAGGTTAGTGAGTTGAGCAGTCTTGGCGGAGATACTTGCTGTTGTATTTCAGGGATGACAGTAAGCTTGCACCAAAGCTGTACTGGAGGATAATCCCATGGATGTATGGTAAGTCTATCCTTTAAAGAGGCAAGTCTAGATAAGCGGACAGTCTAAGGACGCCAGATTGGTAGAGGGATATTTATATTTTATAAAAAATATCATTTAAACTATTAATTATTACCTTAGAGACTTGTGCAAGTCTAGGATGACAGGTGTCCTTATATTTGCATAGTTAGAGTTATCGAGGTCACGCGCATCCTGTGTTTGTGAGTTGTAGTTATGTTTGAAGGAAAGCCTGTCACAGCAGGATACACATCAGGAATGTCACGGTGTCGTATATAAGGAAACACATCTTCTTATGTTTGTAACTCTTTACTGTTTGTACTCGACACTCGCTTTAATAGAACTGTGAACCCGACGTGAACTCAAAGTAGGTTTGACCTGAGTAAACACGAAAAGTAGACACGAACTGCCATTGCGAAATATTTCACAACTTTATCGATCTGGGGTACTATTATCTTGCTACCATGGATACAAAGCTATCAATTAGCTGGACTGCTCACTTCATTCGCTTCTAATCTGGCCTGAAGGAAAACGACGTAGCAAATCAAACACTCAAGGTTTCACTGTTTTCCATTATAATGAAAGGCATTTGTGTATACATGTCACGCAGTACCTATGGTACAGTGAGAGGTCAGAAGGACTTCGATATGTTGTATGCTTTAGCAACACAAATAGAGCTGATGTCGTCGTTTGGCGTGGGACACGAAGTTACATTTCTAGCTTACAGTGATATCCTTGAAGTAACTTCATGTACACCATCGTATATATATATATGTTCTAGTTAACTATAGCTTGTAAATGTATTCCATATCATATTTGGGAGATTGTCTATTTCCGATATGCTTTGTCCATCCATTTATTCTCTCATATTTCGAAAAGTTGTGGGGCGGTGGGGTAGCCCAGTGGTTAAAGCGTTCGCTCGTCACGCCGAAGACCCGGGTTCGATACCCCACATGGGTACAATGTGTGAAGCCCATTTCTGGTGTCCCCCGTCGTGATATTGCTGGAATATTGTTAATGCGGCGTAAAATTAAACTCACTTACTCACTCGAAAAGTTGTAGTTCATTTTATAGCACTATGTATGATGTTTTGATATGGAAAACTGAAGTGAGAGCTAGAGCAGAGAGATACATACTCTCTTAATGCGCATTAAAATGTGTAGTTTGGAGAGCAGTTCGCACGACGCAGGGGGTGATTGATAATTCAACCACTGTCCTACGAGTGAACCACACCCACGCGCGCACGCACACACACGCATACACGCATACTCTTATAACAGTTTTGATGGCTTGTGGAGGGTACGGAGATTCCACTTGCAATCCTTGTTAATACCAATCAGTGAACCAAGTGGGTGGGTGTTTGTACACGCGACAGTACCGCCTGTACTTAGTATTTGCACAGTTAAGTGACCTGTTCACATGTTTTTATTCATATGTCTAGCTGCAATCAGCGCCGCCGAAACCTCACTCGAGGTACATGTGTGTTTTACCTAAGCAAACAAATTATTCCAATTACTTATTGATATATGATACTACATAAATGCTTACCTATGCATAGCCTACTCTAAAGCAAATTTTCTTTAAATCAAGTTAAATTTCATCACAAACAGCTTTCGTTGGACCTATCATTTTGAAATATATAAAGACACGAAACAAAGGAGCTAATGATTTGAAGGTAGCTGTCGTTGGGTTTTTCATTTATACAACTTTGTGTTATATCTAAACGTAACCTCTTATCACAATACAATCTCACGTCATTCAGCAACGCCTAGTGGTTAAAGCGTCCTCTCGTCACGCCGAAGACCCGGGTTCGATACCCCACATGGGTACAATGTGTGAAGCCCATTTCTGGTGTCCCCCGTCGTGGTGGGGGTGGGGTTAATTTGTTCATTTTAGCCCCTTCTAGCAAGTCGGCCTGGCGCAACATTTTACCCATCCTCATTTTACCCACCCATCCACTATATAGTGGAGAGTGATCGTAATGTATACCCTGGAGATTATCGAGGATGTATTTTACCCATTTTACCCAATTTCAAAATGGTTTGGCGAAACAATGGAAGTGGGAGGTTAAACCTGGGGAACATGTCAAAAAATAGTTTGAGAAAAGTTATTTACGCCTGGCAAGATGATTCAAAATACTAAATATTAGTGGTAAATGTGTCAAGGACATCGATAATATGTACCAAAAGATAGAATCAAGTACATTCGGTAATGAAAACGTGTAGTTTCTTTCCTTGGAATATAGGGCTTACACAAGGTGACAATGTATCGCCTTTCTTATTTGTCTTATATCTTAATGACCCCGAAGACCTTCTGTTGAAGAGAAGTATGGGTTGTATAACTGATGTAAATAAAGCATGTGTAGCACAGTAAGAATTATACACGAAACATCTGATCCTATTATATACAGATGATACCGACTGTAATACTTGCACAGTCGAAAGAAGAAATGCAAAACCTTACATGGGAATATCCTACCCCTGGTTGTTTCCTCTTGGATATACCGTACCCCTGCTTATCTCCCCGTGGATATACCGTACCCCTGCTTATCTCCCCGTGGATATACCGTACCCCTGCTTATCTCCCCGTGGATATACCGTACCCTGCTTGTCTCCCCGTGGATATACCGTAACCTGCTTGTCTCCCCGTGGATATACCGTATCCCTGCTTGTATCCCCGAGGAGATACCGTACCCCTGCTTATCTCACCGTGGATATACCGTACCCCAGCTTATCTCCCCGTGGATAAACCGTACCCCTGCTTATCTCCTCGTGGATATACCGTACCCCTGCTTGTCTCCTCGTGGATATACCGTACCCCTGCTTATCTCCCCGTGGATATACCGTACCCCTGCTTATCTCCCTGTGGATATACCGTACCCCTGCTTATCTCCCTGTGGATATACCGTACCCCTGCTTATCTCCCCGTGGATATACCGTACCCCTGCTTCTTTCCCAATGGATATACTTCTCCCCTGCTTGTCTCCCCGTGGATATACCGTACCCCTGCTTGTCTCCCCTTGGATATACCGTACCCCTGCTTGTCTCCCCATGGATATACCGTACCCTACCCCTGCTTGTCTCCCTGTGGATATACCATACAGTACCCCTGCTTGTCTCCCCGTGGATATACCATACCCTACCCCTGCTTGTCTCCCCGTGGATATACCATGACCTACCCCTGCTTGTCTCCCCGTGGATATACCGTACCATACCATACTCCTGCTTGTCTCCCCGTGGATATACCGTACCCCTGCTTGTCTCCCCATGGATATACCATACCCTACCCCTGCTTGCCTCTCCGTGGATATACCATACCGTACCCCTGCTTGTCTCCCCGTGGATATACCATACCCTACCCCTAGTTGTCTCCCCGTGGATATACCATACCGTACCCCTGCTTGTCTCCCCGTGGATATACCATACCCTACCCCTGCTTGTCTCCCCGTGGATATACCATACCCTATCCCTGCTTGTCTCCCCGTGGATATACCGTACCCCTGCTTGTCTCCCCATGGATATACTTCTCTCCTGCTTGTCTCCCCGTGGATATACCATACCCCTGCTTGTCTCCCCGTGGATATACCATACCCTACCCCTGCTTGTCTCCCCGTGGATATACCATACCCTACCCCTGCTTGTCTCCCCGAGGATATACCCTACCCCTGCTTGTCTCCCCATGGATATACTTCTCCCCTGCTTGTCTCCCCGTGGATATGCCATACCATACCCTACCCCTGCTTGTCTCCCCGTGGATATACCGTACCCCTGCTTGCACAGGTTCTGCAAAAACAAAACTACTCCCTCCCTCACTGTTGACTGAGCAGCCTACCGCATTCGAGTTCTCCACTGAAAGTGTAACATCCCACATCGCTGTTAGACATACAGTGTATGTCCCCGTAACTTAGCAACCACACACTAAGCACACAGACACCCAACAACAGACACATACACATCAGAGAGAGAGAGAGAGAGAGAGAGAGAGAGAGAGAGAGAGAGAGAGAGACGGACAGACAGACAGACAGAGGGACATCTAGACACCCAGCCCCTACTCCCGCCACACACACTGTTCATCCAACCCTAGCTCCTCCTTCACGGACTGTTAATTATCGATTCCGGTATCCTGACAGAAGCGGGTGGTTATCAACACAGAGCTACAACAATCTGTCGATTACGTTGGGTTAACAACCCGAAATCTCTCAACATATCTAAGGTACCATACCAAATGCAAACGAGAGATAAAAGCAAATGTTACAAAATTAAGTCCTGTCCTGTGTTAGAGCAGGGTTAGGATGTCCCCATTAATTATCTCCCGGCCAGGTAAAGCTGTTCGCCTGACAACACAAACACCGAACTGATCTGCATTGGGACGTTAATCAATACTTTAATGCTGTAGCCATAGAATCGTTTGTTTACTCCACCTGGAATCATCTGTCTTTCTGCGGGGTACCTGAGCCGTTCAGGTGACCACGCATGGCCGAGGTCCTGCATAGCGAGGACAGTGTGTTCAGTACGAGTTACACCTGAACACGACAGGCAATGGTGGCAATGCCCGGACACTGATCTAACGGAAGGTATGTAACGAGCAACTAGCCTCGCTCTACTCTTTTTGTGGCGTTGAAATGACATTGGTCATTGCTAGGAATGATCCATTTCCATTGAACGATGCCCAACAAGTTGACAAATGTCGGTTAAGGCGTTGTTTATCTAAACGGGGTAGAACACGTTCTTTACCTGTATTTGGTAAGTTGGGCGGGGTGTTATTAAGGCGTTCAATGTACTTGTTATTTCCTGCGTTGTAACCATGGCGATATGACAGTCCGGTGATCCGGTATACTAACTGTCTAGGCTTGTGTGGTATACTAACTGTCTGAGTTTGTGTGGTATACTAACTGTCTGAGTTTGTGTGGTATACTCGCTGTTTGTGTCGGAGTAACCGGTGTTAAGTCAGTTCAGTATTGCTGAATATCACGATCTCCCCGTGACAGACATAGCAGACTTCATGTACACAGAGGCAGGAAATTATGGATGTTTTGGTAAAGATAAAAGGAGTACCGGCAAATATCAAAACTGCAGATTATACCGGTGTGATGCAACATAAATCCGTACAACGAAAATAGCTGCGTGTTTACCAGCCATGCCTGTTCACAAGCATGTGTGTCTTGCTACAGTGAGAGCCACATTAGTCCACATGAGATATGTTAATGTTTTCTCAAAAGCAGGTAATATCACGTGCCGAAACAGGTATGGGCCTGGGTCCACCTAACACTGAATGTATCACAGCATGTGGGTCACAGGCGGGGGCATTTGAACTGGTTGTATTTTTCAGTCAATACCAACGTCAGTGATTCATTGTAAGTCCATAGCGTCCTGTAGTCGGTGGAGCGTGTCTTGGTGGTGGTGGGGGTAGGGGTGACTTTAATGACAATGCGTTGCTGTGGTGATATGAATTGTTCCTATGAAATGGGGTGATATTTCCAGTGCTACGCATGAATGCACGCCTACATTGCAAGTCCCTTGACTGCTCTAAGTGAGGCAATGCTAAATATTGAATGTGTAGCTAGCCTCGCGTTGCTCCGTGTGGTGGCTACACGTCAGTATACTAGAGGGCGGTGACACTGCTCCAGTGTTCCACACACTTTCAAGGGCTAGGCCTGAACCGTTCTGAGAAGGTATGTGTGATTAACTACTGTTAATAGTTTAATAGGCTTATGAAAGGCACCGATTAATGGGCACAAACACACAAAAGTTGGCCAAAGGTTTCCATAGTCGTAATTATCCGACTGGAACCTATACTAATTAGCCACAATTAAGGTGTTTATCTGCGGTTACGTCACACGTCTTTTCAAGTCTATTTCCTCCATAGAAAAAAGGTTCAGGCTCGCAAAGGTGACCTTGGTGCGGTCCAATCAGAAGGTAATGAAGAAAACTATAAGTAAACTATACGGTATCATAATGAGTAGAGACAAGCAGAACGACTCATTTCTCCACATTGGGTACGCTCGTCCAGTCCATGTGTATTTCACCACCCTATCTTGTTAACCGGCGCCGTTTAGAGCTCTTCAGCAGTATCGATTATTAGACATTGCCACTGAGTAGGTAAGTAAATTATGTAAAATGGCCTCGACAATACAACTAGAGTGTTAGACATGTTAAAGCGCTCCTTGAAATATCTGATACAGACTTACAAGACCTGCCTGCTGAACTGAACCACGTCATCGGTACATTATACTTACATATACATTAGTGTGTGGACAGTTTAAATGTGAAGGTATTGTATGTTGTTGTAGACAGGTAGTCCAGGTGTTACATACAATTGACATCCTGTGCAACCAGCGTCACGGTAGTGTTAAGCACATAGAGTTGCTATGGTAACCTGAAACAGTTTAATATATCTTTATGTTTCAGCAAATGCCCAGGTCATTTATGTTTATCGAGGACAGGTATGGAAACTAGAACTCCCCACTCTTATATACTGGCTGCGCTTTATCCCGATGATATCCTCATTTTCTTATGCATGTATTGCTAACGGTACTTTTACTTGCCACAGTATTGTCTGATAGTGTGACTAGGTGAACCATGTTCGCTATAGGCCTTGTTTCACATTTCAGAGATCATCGACAAAAAGTGTTTGGGAATACTGTGGTGTCCATTTGGGACTGACGTAACTATGAAGCCCGTTCGGATCAAGAAGAAGTTCCGTGTGTTGTTACTGATAATCTGTTTTACGTTATTGTTGTTGCTGCTGCTGAGTTGGAGTGGATGTCCATCCGGAGGCTGTGTCCGCCACACAGGACCCTACATACGTCAACTGCCCCACCGTGAGTGGAGGAACACCACCCACAAGACAATACTCCGATGGACAGGATTCTTTGACGATATGTCGTGGGAGCAGTCCGATGACAGGTATTTTCAGAGATGCAAAGTTAAGACTTGTAGATTAACACAGGACAAGGACAAGGTCAGCGAAGCTGACGCTCTTTTGTTTCATGCTGGTTCTACGTTCAACTTCTGGCGGGGGATCACGTGGCCCAGTGTTCGCCGTCCGCACCAAGTATGGATCATGTATAATGTGGAGCCGCCCCCAAGAACTCCTTTAAACTTTCAAAATTTAGGAGGTATGTTCAACTGGACTGCTTGGTACAGGTTCGATTCTGACGTGCCTGTGACATATGGCGGCCTGGTTAAATATGACACAGATATGATAAATAAATATTCAAAGACATCAAGGAAGTTTTCTGCAGAAAGGCCAAGGCTAGCCGGGTGGATGTCGAGTAACTGCTATGACTTTAGTCGGCGTCTTGTTCTCATCAATAAAATCAAGCAACACCTTCCATTGGAAACATATGGCAAGTGTGGAGTTCGGCGCTGTCCTGAAACCATTTGCAGGGATACCATTTCTGTTTATAAGTTTTTCTTTGCTATAGAGAACTGTCTGTGTAAGGATTATGTATCGGAGAAGTTCTGGGAGGCTCTGCGGCGCCAGCAGGTTCCCGTTGTCCTTGGGGGAGCTGAGTACCACAAGCTCGCTCCTCCCCACTCATTCATCAACATCGCGGACTTTTCCGACATGAAGAGTCTCGGAGACTACTTGCTGAAGCTGGAGAAGGATGAACAGGCTTACAACAAGTACCTGGAGTGGACGAAGTCGTACGACGTGTATGGGGAGTTGGAGGCGCGGCGGGTGTTCTGGTGCGACCTGTGTGAGGCCCTCCACGACAAGAGCCGGCCGGCACAGGTGTATGACAACCTAGATGGCTGGGTGAACGATGAACCTGAATCATGCCCGCAGTGGACTGTAAGTGGACGTTTACTTTATCGTTTTGTAGTTTATTATACATATATATATAATAGTGATCATGAAACAAAAACAAACGCACATAGTACCTAGCTGTGCTAACCGTATCTCTGTGCGGTTCGAACGATTTTGATATTGACCTGTCGCTCCAGAGAAATACTGGGTTTTCCATAATGATTTCCTAATAGATTCCCGATTCAAATCTGCATTGCGGTGTGTTTGCTTTACCAAGTGCATGTGTCATGATCTAACGACAAATGTACCTGGTTTCTCTTCCCGAGACATTTGCTTTCAAATACCGGTATTTCATGTGGAACAATACATCTGATTACCGAGTTGGACACCGGGCCAGTAAAGGCCCTTTTCCGCCACCGCAATTATTCCAACCAGATAATTACATGGGAAGCTGCTCGATGGAAAACATACAGATATTTGAAAGTGTTTTGAGGCGAGATTTGTTGCGGTGTTCGTGATATTACGAGACATGTTCACAATGGCAGCCAAGGTTGTTGTATGTTCCATAGCGATTAGGAAAACACTATGGGACAGTCAGGTCTCTTGTAGCGTTTTATGGGGAGAACATATGGTTACAGTAGTTGTGTACCACCAACCGAACATGTGCATGTGTATATGAAGCACACGACCATTGCACGGACAGTAGTATGTTACTTCTAGTTATATATCAGGATAATAATGAGTAAATAAATCCTCGACGTATGTTCATTACAATCTTTATCTGACAGACGAATACAATGTGCGCAGTACTAATACGATTATATGCGTGCGTGTTTACACTAATACGTTACTGTAAACTTACACTAATAGCAAGCACAAACCCAAGCCTGCAGGGTATCATATGGTATGCACAGAAAGGATTGTTCGCTATTTAATTGCTGACCTGTTATTGTCATTGGAAGCCGCGGGTACGGTTACCCTGTAGTATTGCTAGTAGACACAGTTCCTGGAGTTTATCGTTTATTGTTCCACACAGCACTTGCTGCAAAAGTCTAGAAACAAGTCCAGATTTTCCAATGGGAATACTTTCCCATTCAAATGGAGTTACCCGTTCTATGAACAATACATGTACTAGTATATAGTTTTAATCTAGTATTGCTGTAGTACCAGAGCTTTTGTCACAAAACTGATCAGATTACTTACACTTAAGTTTACAAACACCCTGCATATAGAATATTGTGCCGCATCACCTCCATGCATGTCAGTGTGTATACCAGGGCCAATGATGATGGCCAGGATGATTCACATGACTGTGTTTTACAGCCTGTCAGCTGTCGCCATAGAGAGGGTGATCTTCATGTAGAAATATCAACCCGGACGGCCATTATGATATGTTCTTTATCCCTGTTTCAGATTGGTAATCAACTGGGACGGTGGCTGGATGGCGTAAAGATCAAATGGAACCTGATGTAACGTATCAACAACAGCTGTGACTGTTAACAACATGCTAGTTCCACTCATGTCAAGGACGATGTAACGTTTACACCTGCATTGTAGCATGACGTTCTGTCATTGATCAACACGTGGGTGCTATCCGTACATATTGCATAATATTAACTCTGGGTGAATAAGAATGTTACTGTCTACAAGAAGTGAAGTAAGTGGATAAGATCCCCATCAACCTATGACAAAGATATCATCTGAATATGTCATACCTTGTGGATACTGGCCAGAGATGATATACCTTACAGAAGTCATCTGAATATGTCATACCTTGTGGATACTGGCCAGAGATGATATACATTACAGAAGTCATCTGAATATGTCATACCTTGTGGATACTGGCCAGAGATGATATACCTTACAGAAGTCATCTGAATATGTCATACCTTGTGGATACTGGCCAGAGATGATATACCTTACAGAAGTCATCTGAATATGTCATACCTTCTGGATACTGGCCAGAGATGATATACCTTACAGAAATCATCTGAATATGTCATACCTTGTGGATACTGGCCAGAGATGATATACCTTACAGAAATCATCTGAATATGTCATACCCTATGGATACTGGCCAGAGATGATATACCTTACAGAAATCATCTGAATATGTCATACCTTGTGGATACTGGCCAGAGATGATATACCTTACAGAAGTCATCTGAATATGTCATACCTTGTGGATACTGGCCAGAGATGATATATCTTACAGAAGTCATCTGAATATGTCATACCTTGTGGATACTGGCCAGAGATGATATACCTTACAGAAATCATCTGAATATGTCATACCTTCTGGATACTGGCCAGAGATGATATACCTTACAGAAGTCATCTGAATATGTCATACCTTGTGGATACTGGCCAGAAATGATATACCTTACAGAAGTCATCTGAATATGTCATACCTTGTGGATACTGGTCAGAGATGATATACCTTACAGAAGTCATCTGAATATGTCATACCTTGTGGATACTGGTCAGAGATGATATACCTTACAAAAATCATCTGAATATGTCATACCTTGTGGATACTGGTCAGAGATGATATACCTTACAGAAGTCATCTGAATATGTCATACCTTGTGGATACTGGCCAGAGATGATATACCTTACAGAAAGCATCTGAATATGTCATACCTTGTGGATACTGGCCAGAGATGATATACCTTACAGAAGTCATCCGAATATGTCATACCTTGTGGATACTGGCCAGAGATGATATACCTTACAGAAGTCATCTGAATATGTCATACCTTCTGGATACTGGCCAGAGATGATATACCTTACAGAAATCATCTGAATATGTCATACCTTGTGGATACTGGTCAGAGATGATATACATTACAGAAGTCATCTGAATATGTCATACCTTGTGGATACTGGCCAGAGATGATATACCTTACAGGAGTCATCTGAATATGTCATACCTTGTGGATACTGGTCAGAGATGATATACCTTACAGAAGTCTTCTGAATATGTCTTACCTTGTGGATACTGGCCAGAGATGATATACCTCGCCAAGATGTGGCTTGTGATCGCTAGCTACGCGATGACCATATGATCCTAAGACACTTAACAAAATTATGGGCATCCCTGACTACTGCTGCTGTGTTGTCTATGCGTGTGTGCATACTAGAGCTGTGAATGAGAAATGTTGTAACAATTCAGTAGAGGCTACTTTAGTTTTATTTTCAGGTTTGAAAGAAAGTCAAGCAATATGGCAGTGCTCACGCAGTCTGTCCACACTTGAAGGCAGCACAGGATAAGGTGCCTTGTAAACTGCAACATTATTTTCATATACACCCACGTGATATTTGTTTTTATAGATATAAACATCAAATGTTCTTCTACTTTGAGGTGTTGGTTCTTTACTTTGTTGATGCTGAAGAGATAGCGGGTCCGTGTTACCAAACGAGATCTTTCCTTCCATATGTACAACGTTGTAAATGACATGCGACCTTCAGCTACAATGACATGCAAAGCTTACACCACACGTTTAGAGAGAGAGTGAGTAAGTGAGTGAGTGAGTAATGTCCGATGACAATTACAAACAGTCCTGCACAAACCGGAATTAGGACGCCAACAATGGCCTTCAAACGTTGCACACCACGCAATGTTTATTAAGATGTTGGATATGAATGTAAAGCATAGTGTGGGTTGAATAAAGACACAAAATGACAAACATTCTTCCTTGGACTGTCTATTTTGCATATATATATTTCATGAATTTAATATTCTGCGTACACTTCACTGCATTGTAAATATCTCACTCAGGTCAACGCAAGGGTAACGCGCAATAAATCAGTACGAAGAGTGTTTCGATAGCAAATATAGCTGACCCCCAAAATTAGCCCATTCAGCCATCTTGTACGGGTGAATACGTTTATGTCCCTTTGTCACAAAACTGTAGGATAATAGCCTGTCAGTAGGTCAACTGAATGTTCGTGAATATGTAGCACCATAAATCAACTGATTTCCTACTAAGATCATACAGGTGATACGGTATTTATGTATGTTGTGCATAAACTATTACCAAGAACGTAACCGTGGAATCAAACAAATACATACTCATGATATAGTCAGTGTTAAACAATCGACTGTGCTTTTAGCAGATATTTCTTGTGGATGTGGAAGAGGTTTTTGTCGTTTCAATTTGAATAAAAGGTGTGCCTAGTTTGCTAAAATGGGTGTACAAGTGACAATAGTATCGGTCGAAAATCGGTATCTCATAACTGATTGTAATGTTGATGAAAGGTAAGAGTGTTTTGCAATGTTATTAACGCGACTGTATCACTGGCCCTCTTTGATCTCAACCAAGCCTCTCACCTGTGCACATATACTGCATTTACTATGCAGAACATGATTTCCAATCTACATCAAATAATATGCATATGTACAAGTAAAGTGAGTTATAACTGAAACATATCAATCATAACAAAGCAACCAAGGTTGTCTGATGGAATACACACACGATGCAAATGTGATTATAATGTCAGTCCAGGTTTGAATCTCCATACATTCAATCGGGTAAGTATTACCTCCAAACAGGAACGACAACATGTCGTGTTCGTCCAGCATTTCAAATTTGACATAGGTTTCAACATCAAGGTGATCTATTAGATAAGAAAAAAATCTGTTTCTGATTTGCAGAAGTTTCTCACAGTGCAATAGCACATGACAATCGTAATCATACGCATGTTTGTCACAGAGTGTACATGTTTTAGAAACAATATGACGGGATGATATACGAATACAAAATTGCAGCATTGATCTGTGTTGTGGATAAAGGAATATGATATCCCATAGAATAAGATATGTGAGGTGACAGTGGATTTTCCTATACCGAAACATACCGGCGTTTATGGAAACCTTGTTGAGCCATATTTGCTCCTCCTAACCGTGAATTGTATCAAACACCACCTTTCGACATTTATCTTTTGGTAGAAATATTCGATGGTTCACATAGGACCTAACATATTTGCCCAGCTTATACTTATTAGCAACTGTTAGAAGATTTGCCGTTACAGCATTAGATGACGTAGGCTGTGTGACAGAGGCACAAAAGATACTCTTTGCAGTATTGCTACATTTTAGGTTACACAGGCGTCCTAGAAATAACAGCTTGCATTTGTCAATACATCCATGAAGGGTCCAGAGTCCAATGTTAGCTGTGGTTGATTCCGAGGGTGAGCGTTTTTCTAGTCCTTGTACCGTACGTGCAACATATCTTTGTGTTCCCTCTAGCAGGTCAACACATTGACCAGTCATTTTATACAGTAGTTCATATCCATACAACCTTGTTGTTAAGATTTTGCCCAGCCAAATCTTGACACTGGCGGAAGGATGAAGATCGCTGCTGTTCATTCCAAGTGATCTAAGTGAACTGATACTTTGTCTTGCTTTTTTGCAATATTTATCTACTCTTCCTTTACAAGAAAGATTGCTTGTAAGGTAAACACCACCATACACAGTAGAGGTAGATTTTGGAATGTGGAGATGTCCAAGTTTTAGGTCACAAGTAACGTGTTTGAGGTTACTCTTAGAGAAGGTTATAACTGTTCTTTTGGATGGATTCTATTCTAACTGCTTGTTTGACTTCTGGTACAGTAAACAATTTCTCAAGGTCTGGATCACTTCCGCTATCGTCGTCGGTAAGTCGTCGCACAGAGTCACTGATCTGGGGTTGGAAAGTGTTGTCAGACTGGTGTGGCTTTGCTAGATCTGAGTAGTACTTGCCCCATAGCTTACATATATGATTGGATGACGTAGCGTTAATTCCTTCCTAGCTCAGAGTGGAGATGTTCAGTGCCTCTTTGCTTCCTGCCGGTTTTATAGAAAGAGTTGACATCTAGTAGTTCAGCTGAAGTTTCAAGTTCGTGGAGCACATTGCGTTTAGCAGAACGCTTTGACTTGCGTAGAGCCCGTCGGAATTGCCCCTTGCCATCTTTATAGGCAGCGCGTACCTGTGACGAGGTATCTCTGGGTTTATCGTCAGCTAGCCACTGTCGTCTTGTAGACCGCATTTGGTTGTGGAGATCATGGAGTCCATCACGTTTCCAGTATGGTTTTAAATGAGAGTTATATTTCGACTTGGGAATGGTGTTTATGCCAGCTTCCAGTAGTGTTTTCCTTATACGTTCACAATACGTATCTACATCTTCAAAGTTAAAAATGTCAGAGTGGGTAGTACACGAGTTGAGATGCTGTTTAACCTCAGATTGATACTGATATGTCCATTGCAGACGCCTTTGTCCATTTCAGCACATGATTCGGTACACATTTACTGCTGTTTGTTTTTTGGTATATTAACTGAAATATGGCAGGGCAAGTGGTCAGAAACTGTATAAGGGCATGACTCCGAAATAGTACAGTTGGTGATATGTGGTCGCATCCAGGATGGGACTAGAATATAGTCGATCAGGCTACGGTGGGATGAATCTTTAGATTGACAAGTAAAGCCTGGAGATGGGTCAGCAAGCAAACCTAAAGTGTGCAGCAGGTCTCTTTCCCACAAAAAAATCATGTACTAGTCTGTCTCTCTTAGATAGAATTTTTCTACATATATCGGCATTGACATCACCCAGAATCTCCATGAAGTGATCATATAGGTCTATGACCTCTGTGAGTGCTTGGAAGTAAGTGGCAAATAACACATTTGTAGATGGGAGGCGACAGCAAATAACAAACACATCATAGTATCCAGCCTGGGTAAGTTTAATACACACAGCATAGTGAGAGTTAACAGTAATTGGGCAAGCTTTCCATGCACTCTGGTTATGTAAGAGAATAGCCAGGCCATCAGAGCCACGTGAATAGCTGTTACTACTAACACAATTGTAAGTGATCAGGAAGCTTTTACAGCAACTTCGTTGACCTTTCCGAGGCATTTGACAGAATTA